AAAAAAAAAATTACTCCTAAAAAAACCCCAAAACAAAACAGAGTGGCTTCATCTCACCTCACAGCAGTAGAATCTCTAATGATAGGAGAAACACAGCACTTCAACAGGGACATTTAGTTCCTGCCTCTAAGTGCTAAAAATGCAAGTTCTGCTCCTTGCCCCTTCCCAAAGTTCTTTCTTCATGAAAACATCGGCACACAGCACAGGAATGAACGCCCCTGCAGTCCCTAAAGACCAGGGCATGCTTGCCCAGGATCAACACCTGCACCTCCTGACAGGAGGAGGGACAAGGAAGGGCCCACACNGACCCGGCAGCACGCAGCAGCTCTCCTGCCCGGGTCCCAGCGTGCTTCACAGCCAGACATCCACACAGGGCAAGAGTTCTCTCTCTCCAGGGGTCAGAAGCCCTCGCCTCTTCTCAAATGGCTCCCCCGTGGGAATCCCGGGACAGCTGACTCCCGCCCTGTCTCCCAGTCTGCCCACAGCACCGTGAGATTTCCTACAACTCAGAAATGCAAATCCTTCCTCAGACAGAAAATTACAACTGTAACGCTTGGAACCGACACACAGAACGACACCTTGTGGGAAGCGGGTACCCACAGCTGCTGGTGGCACCCACAGCGAGCGTATCTTACCATTGTTCACCTGGCCGTGGACCGCAGTGGCAGGGATGGGGACCACGTGCGTGCCGTTTTGTGTGACAGTTTTTATTGGTAGCTGGTGTTGACCTAGAGGTGCCTGCTGTACTATGGTGACCGTCTGCACAGGAGTGGTCTGTGACGTCTGAATGATGCGGCTAGCAGTGCCCAGCGCAGCGTGGCTCATCGTGGGGATAGGTTCTACCTTCACTGAGATTGAAAGGAGAAGGAAAGAAAGGACACCAGTATCACTGAGACGCTGGTCAAAATCTCATGGCTTACAACCAAATGGCTATTAGACCTGCTATAAAATGTCCCGAAAACTAAGTAACAAGTTAGAGATGGGGTAGGGAGGAGCAAGCCTTGTGGATTCCTAAGAGCACAGAAAGCGGCCAGAGCCACTCCTGCACTGCTCACCTCTCACTTCTCGGTGGTCTCCATTCTCTTGTGGCTCTGCCTTAGGAGGAGCCAGGACAGCCGCCTGAGTGACCATGGCTGGTCCAGCGACAGTGTACGTGTTTGCTGGGGCCAGTCCAGCCACACTGGTGACTGACACCGCTGGTATCTGGTGGACAACGTGGACCGTCTGCACGACGGGCGCCTGGGAAGTTGAGGTGGTCACAGGGGTGGCCACAGTGTAGGTGACAGGCTTCATCGTCTGTGGTAGCTGCCGCTGGACGGTGATCAGGACTGGCTGACTCGACAGAGGTGATCCTGTGGAGAGGACAAAAGCGGGACCGAGGCTGAC